GGGGGGGGGGAATGTTAAACACTGCTTCCTTTTTTAATATATGAGATAGTTTTATAAATAAAATTTCATATTATGTGATGCAAAGTTGAAATTTTAATGATAGATAAGTTAGCATCATCTACACCTATCATGATCAACCAGTAGAAGCTATGAAAAAAAATATATATTTGAGCATTGTTCATCCGTTTCTTTAAGAAATCATTTTTTTAGTAAATAAAATACTTTTACAAATGGAATTGCATATGCTTGCATGATAGATAAGCTAGCAACATCTATGCTTATCCTAATCAACCAATAGAAGCTATGGAATGAAATATATATGATCATTATTTATCTGTTTCTTTAAGAATTCCTTTTCTAAGTATCTAAGAGACCTTTATAAATGAAATTGTATATGTTTTAATGTTAAGTTGAACTATACATAATAGATAAGTTAGCAGCCTAAATCTCTATCATGATTAACCAATAAGTTAGCAGCATCTATCCGCATCCTGATCAACTAATAAAAGATATGAAATGGAATTTATATGAGCATTATACATATGTTTCTTTAAGAATTCTTCGTGATACTACATTTGCATGCATTGCTTTTACTAGGTTGATTTGTTTATCATTGTCTTCTTCTAAGTGTAGAAGAACATTTTAAAGAGAGAATGTTGAGCACTATTTTTTTTTAGTTTTTCTGAAACATTTATAAATGAAAATTGCATATGCTTTGTTGCAGAGTTGAAGTTTGCACGATAGATAAGTGATGCGTGATAGAAAATTTGCGGTGATAAAGTAATGGATTATCGTCTTAGCGTTGCACAAAAATTAAACATACACAAATAACAAAAGATAAGTAAGTAGGAGGTAACATCTTAACTTTTTACATGAAAAATACTTAAAATAGGGAAAACCCACGGGGTCTAGCACAGTTGAAATAATCAACTATGAATGATGAGTACGCATGCCCCTTCTTCTAAATTAGGCAAGACATAATTACAAAGTTGTATAACTATAATATGACTGCAGTTCTTAGTGACAACAGGTTACAAGGGTCATTGTTGATTGTTGTGGAGGTAGTAGTCCGTCGTGAGTGTTGTGGATGGTTGCTCCAGAAGCATCGATTGGCCAAAAAAACCTTAGTAAGCAGTTACGGGAGTTGTGGACCACATAGGCCGTAGTGGGTGAAGTCCGTAGGCCATCGGGGTAGGAGTCGTGAGCTACACGAGCTGTGAACCACGTAGGTCGTAAAGGCGAATATGAATGATATCCGTAGACAGTGAGGGTCGGACTCAAAAACTACGTGAGCAGATGATCACGTAGGTCGTTTGAGCGAGTATGAATGACGTCCCTAGGTCGTAGGGGCCAGAGTTGGAAGCTACACGAGCTGTGAACCAGGTAGGCCATGGGGGCGAGTATGAATGACGCTCGTAGGCCGCGAAGGCTGGAGTCTGGAGCTACATGAGGTGTGAACCACGTAGGTCATTGGGGCTAGTGTGAATGGCGTCTGTAGGTCGTGGGTGTCGGAGTCGGGAGCTGCACGAGCTACGAACCACATAGGCCTTAGGGGCGAGTATGAATAACGTCCATAGGCTGCGGGTATCGAAGTCGGGAGGTGCACAAGTTGTGAACCACATAGGTCATATGAGCGAGTATGAATGACGTCTGTAGGCTATGGGGGCTAGAGTTGAGAGATACACGAGCTATGAACCACATAAGTCGTAGGGGCGAGTATGAATGATGTTCATAAGCCGCGGAGGTCGGAGTCGGGAGCTGCACGAGCTGTGAACCACGTAGGTCGCATGAGCGAGTATGAATAACGTCTTTAGGCTGTGAGGGCTGGAGTTGGGGCTACACGAGCTATAAACCATGTTGGTCGTAGAGCCGAATATGACGTCCATAGGTAGCGGGGGTCGGAGGCGGGAGTTGCACGAGTTGTGAATCCCGTAGGTCGTTGTTGACACATGGACTGTAGTGATGAGCTCATGTCCCACAAAGATGACTGACGGCTTCTAGTTGGTAGTGATCAACGGTGACCATCGATAGTGGCTGACGGTGATTGATGGGTGTCGACGACGGCCGGTGGTGATCGACGGTGATATAAGAGGTGGTCGACGACGGTCGGGATGGTGCTGAACTTCAGCTCCTTCTCAGAGCTTCTAGTTCTCTTTGAAGTTTCAAGTCTCTCTCCACATGTGAGGGGTGGGACTCTATTTATAGTGTTCTAGAGTCATTAATGCATGAATATGAATCATCTTGATCAGACGGTCCAGAGAGTTTCCTTCGATCAAATGACATTTAATGGACATTTGAGTGCATTAAAGATCTCAAAATTATATAATCTTGGACTCGTTGGATTCTTCTTGTCGAGATGCTTAATTTGACTATAAACTGTCAGATTCGACAACCATTTCACCTTCCAAATGTGTCCGAAAATCTTCCAAGAATGATTTAATGACTTGATCTGGGTTTGATTTGACTCAGATTGGAATCACTTTGATATCATTAGGTCTGCCTCATCGAGCCGGTCAGCTTGACTATAAGTTTGTTGAAATTGGAGCTCTGAATGAGTTTTTATCAAGGTTTGAACATCCCTTGCTCAAAATATTATCTCGAGATTTGTGTCATGCTGCGAGATTCATGCTGGATAACGAAGATTTTTTGATGGTGTATCAATAAGTTAGCAGTATCTATACATATCCTGATCAACCAATAAAAGCTATGGAATAAAATAGATGTGAGCAATGTTAATTTGTTTCTTTAACAATTTTTTTTGTGTTTTTTTTTTTTTGGATATATGAGCACTGTTTTAAAGTTTCTCTGAGAAATTTTATTGGTTGATTTGTCTCCTCCTTAGGGTAGAGTAACATTTTGTGGAGTAAAACAGTCTTTCTCATCAAAAGCAGCAGCAACACAGAAAATCTCCCAAATAGACACATACTTCTTCATCAACATCTTTTTGACAAGTCCTAAAAAACTACTTCTTTGAGAAGCAGCATTACAATAGCTTTTAGGAAAAGAAGCAGCCGACCCAAACGCATTAATCCACATATCTCATGCATAAATTTTGATACAGCAGTAGGAAATTTATCAATCAAACACCAATCTTAATGCAAGTATATAAATTAGAAATTTTCATCATCCACTTCAGATGAATCTAAACATAAATTCTAGCAAGCTTATTATCAAAGTAAATAATTCAACGAGTCAAGTCTAACAAGGCCATAAGTGTATTAATTTGTGTTCAAATGAGCTCAAATCAAACACTTGAGATTTGAAACTTAAAAAGATTATTTGAGAAGTTTGAAACTTCAAAAACTATTTGAGAGACCTAACGATGTCTCCATACTTATAATAAAAATAAACAACTCGATAAGAGAAATTCAATGAGTAAAAATTACTTGATTTTAATATTAATAAGATATTTAAATGCCAAAAAAGTAATTTATAATTGAGAGAATCAAAAAAGGCTATCTAATGAAGAAATAAAAGATTTTTATTTAAGATATCAAAACATAACTTCAAAACTTATAAACAAACAACATTATTCACATAAAAAATATTTGAAATTTGGTAAAGCTCAAGGATTTGAAGAGGTCTAAAGTATTTTCTAAAAATCAACACAAACGATCAGTAATAACATACACCGTCACATGACTGTTGTAGTCCAATTATCAACACCCGATCCCCATCATTTGATCATTGCAAACCAACTAATATTATCAGATCACGATCACTTGAATATCATTTGTTAACCAACACTGCTCAATAATTGTCTCTTGACAATCATCATCCCCTATCCTCTAACTATATTGAAATTTCGACCAGCATATCTCTTGAACTTGTCATCATATTTTTTATTTCTTCAACATTCTTTATTCCATCCATTTTAGCAATCATGAAACCAAAATTTAAAGTAAAAACCGACGAAATCGAAAATCAAACAGTGTTGAGCATTCAAGTTCTAAATTTTACCCCTTCAAAATTGGTTAAAAATATAATCAACATGATTATTGAATTAAAACATAATTAAGCTTAGTTTTATATTGACTATTTAAGTTAATGAGAGAATTTCATTTTTAATGCACTTTATCTATAAAAAAACTCAGAAAATTGTAAATCCCCCCCCCATTCCCCCACCCGCCCGAACTACCACATTAAAGGCCAGGTTAGTCATTTTATTTTCTAATACCAATGGCAAGTTACAGTACATTAAGAAAAAAAAAGCTAATGTTTTATGTCTATTAATGTCATATTTATTTTCTAATAAAAAGAGCATTTTTTTAATATAAAATGAATTATTTTAATTTAATCATATCTCATGATTTTCTTTTCCTTTAACGCATTCAACGTAAAATTTGTATTATCTTTGCAAATTCACGAATGTTGTAGCATCCAATAAAAATTACAAATTTGTCCAAATTCATATAAATATATAATTTATAATTGATAATATTCCAAAACTAGTTGTACTTATCTTCTAACTGTAATGGCATTAAACATTTGGGCCCATCGAATAAAAATAAGAGGAAGATTTAATTAAAAGCTATAATGGAGCAGACCTAACCCCTACTAAATAAATAAAATAAATAAAATAAGGGCTATATTTACATTTGCGTAACGACATATCTTTTATTTTTTTTATTGTTAGAATGAGACACCTACTAAATTTTTGACGGCACGCAAATAATTTTTCATGCAATAATTTTTAAAATATGAGCGCTTATTGCATACGGACATATGTGTGGTGTCGAATCTGGACTACTAAAATATATCTTGTGTTTTTTTTACCGTTAGAATGAGACCCACTCTAAATTTTTTACGGATCAGATCGGACACCACACAAAATAATTTTTCAGATATGAGCGCTTATTGCGTACGAATACTGCAAGCAAATTTGTGTGCGGTATCTGATATATAAATAAACTTTTGAAGGACTTGAAAATAATACATTACTATTTTTTAATAATTTATAAATAAATTCTAAATGTTTAATAATCTAGACTTCAAGGAGTGCTAATTATAATGGTATCGCTATTTTAATGAGTAAAATAAAAAATAGATCCAAAATATTCATAGGAATGTCAGGATTATACTTTCTAAATTGGGGCAGAAATAATCCCAAAAAAAAATTATTAAAACTAAATTTTAATATAATGTAGTATTAATTTGACATTTTAATAAATTTTAAGATTAAAATTGTCACACAAAAAGAATAGAAATAATTTTGGCAACTTACTCTATTTTAGTTCATTAAAAATTTTAAAATGTTATTTAAATTTTACCAACATTAAGGGCCCGTTTGGGGCAGGTTATAAGCGCGACAATATTTTTGAAAACACCGCCTAACTCTTTGGTTTGCGCATTTTTAAAAACGTTGTCTGTCGTGTTTTAGTTTTTTACACTAAATACAGGCGGGCCACAGGTCGACCCTGCGGCCAACCCGCGAGCCGCATTTCAGGATAAGTTGTTTATACTGAAACGCATAAGATGCCTCCAAACAGATTATAAATCTAGCCTTGACATTCATCAGAAAAATATATGTATAGAAAAAGGAAAAAAAACGTGTTTGTTGGTAGATAGCCGATAATGACATCCACAAATATTTTTCTTCTGATTTGATGGTAGCCTACTTCCATGTCATATCGATTAAAAATAAAATAAACTTTTACCAAACAATATCTATATTAAATTTTAAAAATTAAATGATAATTAAAAATTTTTAAAAAATATATGTTAATTCTATAAATAATTAAAGTTGAGGGTTACTATAACAATAAAATACAAAAGAAGAAAAGAAGACGGCAGACTAGTAATAACCGAGCAAACTCACCCGGAGCACATCCCGGAGAAGAAACTCCGGCGGCGGGAACCGCGGCGGCCGGCGAACCGAAATCTTCAGCAGCTTCCGTAAATCATCGGTAGTTCTCGGCAGCATAATTTCAACCACGCTCCCAATTCCCCCAACCCGCTCCATCAGAGCCCTATCATCCTCGTCCTTCTTCTCCAAATCGGAGCTCGCAATCACCAATTTACCCGTCCATTCCTCCCCCATCATCCTCGCCGCATGATACGCTACAAATCCCCCGTAACTAGTCCCCACAATCCCCGCGATACTTTCGCCGGAAACACCCAGCGACTTCAAAAGCGCCACCATCATCGACGCCTGAAACAACTCCGATCTCTCCGGCGATGTGGTGGTAGATCGTCCGAAGAAGATGAGATCCGGAACGATGAGATCGAAATGGCGGGAGAGAGCGCGTACTTGAGCTCTCCACTGCCATGTGGTTACGGGGCCGAAGCCGTGGATGAGGAGGAGAGAGGGTTTTGAGATCTGGTTGTTAGGGTTTTGGGGGGAGGAGAGGGGAAGGGAGGGTGGAAGCCAGCAATGGATGGTGGTTTCGGAGTTGATGGTGATGGATTCAGGGCGGAGGCCGGCGGATGTGAAGGTGCGGCGGGCGAGAGCGTCGAGGATGGGGATGATGCTCAGACGCATGGCGAACTTTTGAAGAGAATCTCTCAAAAAGTGAATGCTTTTGAAAAGAGATGGCTCCATGAAATAGAAGATAAAGGATTTTTACATTCCAACCATTAAAAGATTGAATATGACAATTTAACTACTTAAATTTTAATCATTTGAAAGATTTTAAATATAAATAAAAATAATTAAAATGTTATATTTAAAATTTAAGATTATATATATATATATATATAAGCAAAATTTTGATAATATGTAATAAAATTAATCTTATTTTAATAGAAAATAATTAAATATTTTGATTCTCAAATGATCCCCAACATTAATTAGAATCAACTTAAAATTTGTTATTTAATATTTTTATTAAAATTAAATGATATGTATTTTCAAATGTATAATAAAATAAAAATATAAAATCTTGCTAAGCTAATCAAGTCGACTAATCATCACCTCCAAAAATCTCTCTCTCTCTCTCTCTCTCTCTCTCTCTCTCTCTCTCTCTCTCTCTCTCTCTATAAGTGGTTGTTGAGTTGATTAATTAATTTGTTGTCACTGTGGTTGCTCAAATATTAGAAAAAAATATTTGTTTTTTAAATCTGTTAAGTTTTTATAGATAAATTATAATTTAAGGTGAGTTAATTAATCCCAAATATATACAAAATAGTTTTTTTAATATTGGGTTATTTAATATAATAATTATGAAGAATAATTAGAAAGAAAATATAAATTTTATATGTATTAATTTTACAATAAACATAAAAAATTAAAACAATAGATATTAAAATATTCTCAATAGATTATATTACAAATAATATAAGTAAAAATAAATAAATTTTGAGGAAATTAAAATTCAGAATGAAGATGTGAATTTACTTTTCACGCAACCTCTTAAGTGCAGGAGATCATTTTTGGCTTCTTATTTTAAAGGTCTAGAGATTATAGAAGAGTTTTTTATAAAAAATAAATAGTTTAATTTTTACCCTTCGCTAATTTTTAATTAGTTTAGTACTGATTAGGATTAAGCGGGGTTTAAATTTTCCATAATTGAAGGGTTAACTGGACTGTTTAATTAAATCCATCTAACCCAAATAGTATTATTTTCCGTGCTTTTGATGTAGTTGATGGTGGCCTTTCAACTATAGAAAAATTTTTGCTGATTTAATTATGTTGAAAACTAAAGTTTAAAATGAGAGGAGATAGAAAAATATATATTTTTCTAAAAAAATATTAAATATTTAAATGTGCATAATTATACAAAATTTTTTGGGGCATTTACATGTATGTCATACAAGTCTTATGTATTTACATATAGATCCGACGCCTAAACATCCATATTTGCATGCATTCCACTCAAATCTTTAACATGGTATAAATCTTTAACATGTATTTACATTATAAGTATAAATATTAAACTTTAGGTGCTAGAAATTGCTAAAAGTTGCATATCTTTGCTATTTTAATAAGAAAAATGGCTAATGTTCAAGGTTCAAAATATGATTAATTTTTTTGTAGGGATACTTACATATGTAGCCCACGAAACTTTGCTATTTATAAAATCTAATAATTAATGTGATATTTTTGAACTACCGAATTCATGTATTTGCGTATGTCACGATCAAACTATTGATAATTAGATAAAAATGAAAAATTCATGAATTTTGATATTTGAGTGAGAATTTGCAGATGGATGAAAGATGGTGTTAGATTTGTAAATAACAATGTTTCAGGTGCTATGCGTGTAAACATCTTTTTTTTTTTTTTAACTATGACATGTAGCTTAGGGATATCTCTTAGATTGAAATTTATGAAAATTCTATTTTATCTTGGCTTGGCTCTACATCTATTACAAGGATTAATGAGTTCATTGATGATGACATTTCAAGAATTTTAGAAAAGGTCATTTGTGCAAAGAAAATTGTTTGTGGCATTAAAATTAGATATGCATGGGCTAAAAAGGCTCATCTATCAATCAATTATTTCTTTTTCAACCTTGATAATAAATCTCATTTGCATTTTTATTTGAATGCCTTATTTATATATACATTCTAAACTATTGCATTCATGGTAGTTTCTTTATTTCATGTTGGTGGGGCTTTTTCACAAGCATTTTATAAGAGGATTTTTGAAGAAGGTGGTGCCAATGTTGATAGTTTGGCCGATAAAACTTATATTATGATTTATCGGAAAGGAAGAAATGAAAGTTTAATAAATAATTGCCTAATAATATTGGGTCATTAAGCTTGAAATGATTTATGTTTGATCTTCTTACTTGGATCTGATATATTATGTTCTCTTTGAGTTTCTCTATTATCCTTTTATTTCATTCATTGTTTATCACCTCCTAAAGTTTTATTATGTAAGTGATATTATTTGAGTCACATTCAATTTGGTATTACTAATGACAAACATAGCATATATATATATATATAACTTCTAATATTTGGCTAAAATGGTCCTAAGGGATGCAAATTGCCTATTTAAGTAGTAACTAGTGTAAAAAACTTGTAGTTCTTCATTGATTAGGTGTAGGGATAAATGCACCCCTGCTTAGTCTGATGGCTAAGAGCTTAGGCTTCACCGAGATCTTTAGTTCAAGGCCTTGCTTATATAATTAGTATGAGTTTTCAATTAGATTCATTGACAAGTATCAAAAGAAATTTTAGAGATAGGAACATTTCTATGATTTTATGTTTTAGAGTAATAATGATAAGAAAAAGCGTCGAAATACATTTTAAAAAGCTTATGATATGCGCTCGCGTCACAGTTGTACAGTTGTATGTGCTTCATTCTTTTACAAAAAAATGCATTTGTTTGCTATTTTAATTCATTTATGGTTATTATTCAAGGTTAAAATAAAGTCAACTTATCCTTTATCGTGATTTGTGGCTTAGTGACATCTCTTAAATTAAACATTTTGGGAATTATGCTTTGTCATGGCTTGGCCTACATCTACTAAAAGGAATAATGAATTTATCATGAATTAATGTTGGAGCTGACAGAGACTTTATATATGTTTAAAATATATGTTTAAAAATACAAGAATTTGATATTGTTGCTGGAAGATTTAAGTCTCCGGCAACGGCGCCAAAAACTTGATAACGGTTATAGATTTGATAAAAATGTGTATAAAATATTCAATAATTGCAAAGTCACACTTATCAACGCAAGTATACGTATCACTCAAGTAATACAGGGCTCTAATGGAATCCTGGATATCGATCACACAGGGAGTAATACTAGAGGTTACAAACTAGGATTTAGAAAATCAATACTTAATCACAACAATACAATTCAAATTGCTTATTTGTCATTAACATGCAATTGAAATAAATATGTAATTTTAACAAACTCTTAATTAACTAATTCTACTAATAAATTTTCTAATGTGAAGTTCAATATATAAGAAAGAATCCTTCTCCTTGTCAAAAAATTAAAGTGAATGGATAAAGTGAATTAGTTCAAATTGTACTGTGTCAAATATGAGCATACTCATTCTTTACCCTTTGGTCCAGACATAAAGAACATTGACTAATCCTATGATTGCTTACTAAATCTGCGGCTAGGCTAGGAGGATACAGACTCTCACTTAGGAGCTCCCACGTTCCCCTGGCCTGAGGGCTAACATCTACACTTCAGCACCCAAATGATAGGATCAAATTGAGGATTTTAGCCTGTCACTCTAAAATCTCCAATTCTACGACCGATAATTTTATTTCCCTATTTATTTGCACCCAACTTTCAAGGAGTTTGACCTCCCTAAATCTTGTATGTAAACTTCACTTTAGTTGTAAAACTCAACAGATTTTAACAAATCAATTGGACAGATTGAAAGTAAATTAAGATTGAAGTGAAAAGAT